TGGCAGACAATGTTTCTACAAGTATACTTATATGTTCTGTAAGAATTTCCAGCCATGTATTAGAGCTGAGAAGAGACAAGTTGTAGTCACTTCTTGGCCTAGCCAGCTACGGGGGGAGCGAGTTGTTGGACCTGTGGGCTCCGGACCATAGTCACAGGGGACATCAAGCTCAAATGGCATAACATACTACACAAAAACATTGTTCCACATCCTACTTTGGCAAGTAACAGCTGGGATCTTAAAAGTTTCTCAGTGGCCATCTAGATGTAATGAGGGGTCTCTCCTCATCCAGAACAAAAAAGAATGAAGAAAACTAAAGACACATGGAAACAATTAGTCTAAGGGACTGGTACACCATGAGATCCTCAGCCTATACAACTATGAGACAAGAACTAGATGTTGGCCAGTTACCACTGTCAACCACTTGGAGGGAGATCTATATAGGAGATCCTGGATAGAGTAGAAGAACAATGGGGAACAAAACTCAAAATCACTAAAAATAAAATAGGACCAGGTTTGCTGGTCTGATAGAGCCTGGCAAAACCCCTGAGACTATGGCCTCTAGCTGCCCCTCAGGTCTGGAATTGAACCTACACCTGTGGCTTCCAGCCAAACAAAAGACAGGCATATGAGCTGATCATTTGCACTAGGTAGATACACTGCTTGGAATAATCAATCATGGGAGAATAGAAGGGCAGTGTAGGCACAGGGAGATACCTGGGGGTGGGTAGGAGTGCATGGGAGGGGAGGACACAGGGAAGAGGTAACTATGGGGAGGAAGTGGGAAGAGAGTTGTTGCACTGTGGGAAAGTACAGTCAATGTCATAGGACAAAGAGTATGTGGATTGCTGTATGGAAAACGAAACTGCTCTGTAAACTTTCACCCAAATCACAACAAAAATTTAAGGGAAGAAAAAAAAAAAAAAAAGAATCCTTGCTCCAGAGACCATCACACAGGTTGTATGTCAATCCTTGATAGTGAAACAGTTCATAAAGGCATGTCACAGTTTATCGATTTTCCTCTAGTTCTTTAAAAAAATATGGACAGCATTTGGTCTCAGTGATTAATTTATATCTAATATGTCAACTATATCTACTAATCACTGATTTCTTATTTCCAGTATAACACATAAGGAAATTTGCCCTTACATGCTTCTCATTAAAGACAGATACTAAGCTTCTTTTCAGCCAACTATCCAACCCTAAGTAAACTTACTGTATCAAAATCAGCAAGTGAATCCAATGTTTCTATAACTGAATTTCTAACTTAACGTAGATAAACAATCTTAAGTTTATACTCCATTACAAAATATGCTTCAGAGTATTTTCAGGAAACCAAAAGGATTATAGAAAGAAATGCATACTGTCATTTGTGGGCTTCACTGGGTTTCAGTTTTCTCTCCTGTAAAATGATGGTATCTACCACAAGGGTTTTGTGAGGAATAAAATGATACATAAATTACCTAACATAGATACTTGGCTCACAAGAAGTACTTAACAAATGCTAGCACCTATGCCCTACCTAAGGAGCCCTGGTAGCATAGTGCCTAAGGCACTTGACTGCTAACCAGAAGGCTAGCGGTTCAAACCCACCAGCCACTCCTTGGAAGGAAGATGGGGCAATCTACTTCTGTAGTGATACTGCCTCAGAAACCCAAGGAGAGGTCGCTATGAGTTGGGTCCGACTCGACGGCAAACAACAACAATGCCCTCCCTATTCTCTTCTTACATTTTAAGAAAACCAACCACATCTAAAGTCATCAAGTCAATTCTGACGCACAGACACTGCATGTGTAGAGAAAAGGACTGCCCCATAGAGCTTTCTCCGCTGTAATCTTTATGTACGCAGATTAAAAGGCCTTTCTTCTGCAGCACCTCTGGGTGGGTTAGAACCACCAACCTTCAGATTAGTAGTAGATTTGAGTGCAAACCATTTACCCCACCCAGGGAGCCTATTACATCAAAATTTTTATGATTAATTAAGATCCAACTATAAAACCAGTCATCAACTTCCCTTATTTTCCTGTACAAACTCAGTTTCCTATTAACCCTACCATATTTTGACCCTTTAAAATCCACTGAAACCCAGTATCCATATTTTGTACGAACTTGTGTGCTGACATGTTAAATCATCAGTTTTTTTGTCTTCTTGTCAGCAGATAGGTGTCTATGACTCCTATTTTAATTCTGCATCTACATTTACTAGCAGTCAAAAGTTGTTGTAACTTTTGTAATACCGTGAAAAACTTTTATTAAGTGACGTTAACACCGTGGTTCATGGTCTGTTGCTTAGCCTTAATCACATATCCACCTTAATGTAGTCAAAGTGTTTTATTAGTCATAAACTGTTCTAATCACATTTGTGCTCTCTACATACAGTCTACTATCAAAAGACAGACTTTGTTTAGGTTGCTTTTGATTAAGACAGAATGTTAAGGAAAAATAATACAGTGCACTAAAGTAATGGAATTTAATCTCTTAAAGACTACAATTTATTTCAGAACCTAGTAGATGTTCTACTTTTATCATATATAATAATCTCAAATTGTTTTACAGGAAGAAGAGCTTGAGAATTTCAAGCATAAAACACATTTGGCGTGGAATATTATTCAGCAATGAAAAGTAATGAAATACTGGTTTGAATTACAACATGGTTGAACCTTACAAACATGAGTTAATCGAAAGATACAGTCACAAAAGTACATATATTTATGATTCCATTTATATGAAATGTTCAGAATAGACAAATCCAGAGAGACACAAAGTAGATTAGTGATTGAAAGATGGGAGTAGGAAGTAGAATGGTGAGTGACAGGTAAGGGGATTTCTTTTTGGGGTGATAGTTGCATAATGTTAATGAATTTGCTAAAACTGACTAAATTATACTTTAAAAGGATGAATTTTTGATATGTGAATTATATCTCAATAAAGCTGTTATTTTTAAAACAAACCACCATCAGTAAGCCACAATGAAAATTTCCTTGAGAAAGAAAATCATAAAAGCCCCTAGTTGGATTACAAAGCTGGTTGCCTGTGATGTCAACCTCAAATTTCCCTCCCCCAACAGCATCAACTGGATGGCAATGGGTATGGTTTTTTGGTTTGGTATTCCTACCAACAAGTACATGTAACTAGCAACAGTGTGTGAATCAATGAAGAATTCGGGGAACAGTTGGCTGTTAACTATAACAGTGAGTGCTTTCTAAGGCTCTATCGCTCCTAAACTGTAGGGGGCTTCCACCCTCAATGATTACGGAAGTAGTAGTTTTCATTGGCAAGCTAAAGAAGGAATGTCAATATAGAATGACACTTGCCTAGACGCCCGGCAAAAACAAACAAACAACACAAAGGGGGGTGTCACCTACACACACCTAACTCTATGCACGTGTTAGCCTGCCACCAGTAAACAGCAGCAACAACCAACAGCGTGCACCATTCCTAAATTAATCCACATAAATTGACGCTTAACACACTCTCAGCTCTCAAATCGCATTTCTTTAAAACGACAAGTAAACTCTCAACCAGTTCCCACACGAGTCCAACCAGCCCCCGCCCTGCCCCCCCCAACCCACACACGTGTTAGCCCGACACCGCCCCACCGGGTCCCACGTGCACCTGGTCTAACACACTCCCCACGTGTGGACGCCCCACGGGCTTCCTCGGGTAGCTGAGGTCACCGCGTGACCCCTAGGTCTCTAGAGGTAGAAGAGGAAAAGGACAAGGCCCAGGTCCCATAGGTCCCAACCTTGGGGGTAGTGTCCTCACCCATCCTCTCTACTAACACTAACAAATCCAAGGGCCGGGGGCGACGGCCCCTTTAAGACGCGGCCCAGTCGTAGCCCACAGAGAGGGGCGCAACGGGGCCTACACAGCCCCCCCCTACGTTCGCCCGCCCACGTCTAGCCGCCTCACCTCGGGCCGCCGGGCCCCGCCGCCGCGGCGGCGGCGGAGGGGGGGCGGGGTACGGGCGGGGTCCGGAGGGGGGGGTCGCCCCGCCGACGGTGTAGCCGCGGCTCGCTGGCAGAGGCCGTGGGACGGTGACTGCGTTGGGCGTGGACGCTCCTAGCTCGCTCCCTCGGCGGCTCCTGGGACCCCAAGATGGCGGCGGCGCTGAGGCGGCTGCGGGCGCTGGGCCGGCGGCGGCGGCGGCCACTTTCACTCACTGAGAGGAGCGGAGCAGGGACACGGGGAGCCATGGCGGGGGGGAGGAGAGGCGCCATAGCCAGGCCAGAACAATCGAGCCGCTACTCGGCTGGCTTACCCCCGCCCCGCCCACACTCGCTACTCGCTGCCCAGTCCGTGACCACCCGCAGTGCCGCTGTCGTCTTCCTCGGGTAGCTCGCACCCCGCCACCGCTGCCTGACGCCCCGCGCGGACCGGGGTTCGGGGGGAGACCCTGATCCATGCCATCTGAGTGCAGATTGGTTGAGGCTGGGACTGGCGAAGATTGCCGAAAGGCGGCGGGCAGGAGGAGGAGGATGTCATCGCTAGAGTGAGCAAGCAGATCTCGCGGGAGCAGATGTCGCGAGAGCTCTCCAGGCCTGCAACTGCCGAAGAAAGGTTACTTTTTCCGGAAGTAACGTCAATCGAAACGGCCCGTAATCCTGGGAATAGTTGTTCCCGAAGAGAAGAGGAACGAGGGTGCTTTGATTCGTTTCATAGGGTCTATCGAACACCGATAAGACCACTTGAGGGAAAGGATAGGCTAAAAGCTGATATTTCCTAGTTTCGGGCAACTTTGGGCGGGATTGTAGGTTGTCAGGCAAATGAATGCCTGTTGTGTAAGGTGATCCTATAGTTAGTTGAGGGGTTTTAGGCTTCAGTACCATAACCGCGTTGCTGTGACATAGTTATTGTAAGATTCCTATGTGAAGACCTTAGGATTCAAGGACTTGGGAACACACCAAGCAAGATCTGTGATGAGAAACATCTAGTTTAAAGTCTGACTGTAGATGAGGATTGGCATTTCCCAAAACTTTGTTGTTGTTATGTTGTTAAGTGCCGTGGAGTCGTTTCGGACTCATAGCGACCCCATGCACACAGAACGAAACATTGCCCCATCCCGCACCAGCCCCACAATCCCTGCTACACTTGAGCCCATCATCGCAGCCACCATGTCAATCCATCTCGTTGAAGGCCTCCCCCTCTTTCGTGGACCCTCCACCCTACCAAGCATGACATCCTTCTCCAGGGAATGGTCCCTTCTGACAACATGACCAAACTAGGTGAGACGAAGTCTGGCCATTCTTGCTTCCAAGGAGCATTCTGGCTGCACTTCCTCTCTGACAGATCTGTTAGTTCTTTTAGCAGTCCACGGCACTTTCAGCATTCTTGGCCAGCACCACAACTCAAAAGCATCAACTCTTCTTCTGTCTTCCTTATTCATTGTCCAGCTCTCACATGCATACGAGGCGATTGGAAATATCATGGCTTGTGTCAGGTACAGCTTAGTCCTCAGGGAGATATCCTTGCTCCTCAGCACTTGAAACAGTTCCTTCGCAGTTGACTTTCCCAATGCTACACCTGGTCTAATGTCCTGACTGCTGCTTCCATTGGCATCGATTGTAGAACCAAGCAACGTGAATTCTTTGACAACCTCAATCTTCTCTCCATTTATTGTGATGCTGCTCATTGGTCCAGTTGTGAGGATTTTTGTTTTCTTTATATTGAGACGTAATCCATACTGCAGACTGCATTCTTCAGCCTTCGTCAGTAGGTGCCTTAAGTCATCCTCACTTTCAGCAAGCAAAGTTGTATTGTCTGCATATCTCAGGTTGTTAATGATTCTTCCTCCAATCCTGATACCACGTTTTTCTTCATATAAATCCAGCTTCTTGGATTATTTGCTCAGCATGTAGATTGAATAAGTGTGGAGAAAGGATACAACCCTGACGCACTCCCTTCTTGATTTTAAACCATGTAGTGTCCCCTTGTTCTGTTCGAACGACAACCTCCTGGTCAAGGTACCAAAACTTTACCAAACTGGTATTTCAGTCCCTCATTTCCCATCCTTTAATCCATTTCAATCTGGCCCTTAGCTCTTAAGTAGAACTATTTGCCAAGGCTCTCAAGTAGCGTTTTTGTTCTAAATTGACTAGACTTCTAAAATTTTTGTTTACTCACAAAAGATTATAGTATTGTTATGTGCCGTCGAGTCTGCCCCAACTCATAGCGACCCCTCCTTGGCTTGCCAAGGCAGTATCACTACTGAAGTAGATTGCCCAACCTTCCTTCCAAGGAGTGGCTGGTGGGTTTGAACCGCCAGCCTTCTGGTTAGCAGTCAAGTGCCTTAGGCACTATGCTACCAGAGCTCCTTCCTTTAAGAAAGAACGGGATATAAAGAAAGGCACAGTTACTTACTGGTCATTTGTACATCTTTTTGTATTGAGTATATCTTTGTATTGATTTCGACTCATAGCGACTTTATAGGACAGAGTAGAACTACCCCCATAGGTTACCAAGGCTGTAAATGTTTACCAAAGCAGATTGCATTGAAGCAGATTGCATCATCTCTCTCCTGCAGAACAGCTAGTAGGTTTGAAGCACTGACCTTTTGGTAAGCACCTGAGCATTTAACCTCAGCTCCTTGGGCTGACTCATAAAACCATAGTAATGTTTCACACACCTCTTATGTACCCCAAAATAAACAACTGAAACCAAGGATAATATTTGAGTAGCAGTGATCTGTTATGTTTGTCTGGAGCATAAACCAAGAGGAGATTGCCACCCTCTTCATCTGTAGTGCTGCTGGTTGGGTTTGAACCAACCTTTAGGTTAGTACTCAAGTGCAAATCATTTGTGCGACCCAGGGACACAAAAGAGAATAGAGAAAAATCAGTAAGCCAAGTAAGGGCCAATTTGTAGAGTCCTTTAACATACAAATGTAGGTTGTCTATTGCATTAGTATTCTATTGCAATGGTAACAAATCACCACAAATTTGGTGGTTTAAAACAACACAATTTTACTGTCTTACAGTTCTGTAAATTGGAAGTCTGATGTGGGTCTTACTACATTCCTTTTGGAGGTTTTAGGAGAGAGTCACCTTTTTTACCTTTTCCAGCTCCCAGAGGCCACCTCCATTCCTTGATTCATGGCCCCCTTCCTCCATCTTCAAAGACACAATGGCAGGTTAGGTCCTTCTCAGATTACGGCTGACCTCCCTTTAAAAACTCTTGTTACTATGCTAAGGAGCTCTGGTGGTGTGGTGCCTAAGGCATCTGATTACTAACCAGAAGGTTGGTAGTTCAAACCCAACATCAGCTCCACAGAAGGAAGAAGAGGCAACCTATTTCCATGGAGATTTACCACCTTAGAAATCCAATGGGACTCAATGGCAGAAGGTTTTAAATTACCTGGTTAGCAACTTTAATTTTACCTAAAACCTTAATTCCTCTTTGCCATGTAACCTAGCATGTTCCCAGGTTCCATGGGCATCTTTGGGGAGCCATTTTTCTGCTACCACATCTCTCCAAAACTTCTCATATGCAACAATCTGTATCTTTCATCCTATGACCTTCACAATGAAGTCCAATTTCTTCCGATATCTAACACAGTCTTGCATTCTTGATTAAAAGCCTCTGTACATTCTTTACCTCAGGGATTTAATAAAACTAACTAACTAACTCACTGCTGTTGAGTCGGATCCAACTCATAGCGACCCCTCTTTGGGTTTCTGAGGTGATATCACTGTGGAAGTAAATTGCCCAACCTTCTTTCTGAGGAGTGGTGGTGGGTTTGAACCTCAAGCTGTCTGGTTAGCAGTCTGGTTAGCATTCTATTGCCTTAGGCAATAGATAATATAAAATTTAATCCATAGTTTATTTGTAGTTCAGAGTAACATTTTCCAGAAATAGATTTTAACTTACAGTTCATTGTAGCATATTTTCTGTTTTCTGTCTGAATGTGGGAGTATCTTTGGCACCCAGATCTTGATTTCTAAACACTAGTCTCCAACAAAAGGAATCAAGAGAATAATGGAGAAGCTGATTCCCAGGTGGGACAGGGAAAATAAAAGATGAGTCTTCAACATCTTATAGTGCCTGAAAATAAGGAAGTGCTAAAAAAAAAAAAAAAAAAAAGATGAGAGCTTGTCAAAAGAATGCAGGAGCCAACTTGAAAAGCTCCTAATGACTAAAGTAATAAAATAATGATAGTATTGGATTATACGAGGAAGACTTTCAATGAGATGGATTGACATAGTAGCTGCAACAATGGCTCAAACATAATAATTGTGAGGATGGTACAGGACTGGGCAGTGTTTCCTTCTTGTGCATAGGGTTGCTATGAGACAGAAATGACTGGATGGCACCTAAAATACCCATAGAGAAATACTCATGTCTCTATAATGTTATAAATCAGTAATTGAGTATTTAAATGAATGGGGAAGAAGGGACAGCTCTTCTATTTTTAATTTTTAATTTTAATTTTTATTTTTGCAGTGTTTCCTGCTCTCCCCTCCCCTCCCCTGGAAACCAACAAAGAGTTTCCTTCCATATATAAACCTTTCCTTGACTTTTTACAATAATGAACCAATACAATATTTATCCTTCTGTGATTGACTTACTTCACTCAGCATAATGTCCTCCAAGTTCATCCATGTTATGCAGTGTTTCAAAAATTTCTAGATTATTCTTTAGTGTTACATGGTATTCCATTATGTCTGTGTACCATAGTTTGCTTATCCATTCTTCTATTGATGGGCACTTAGGTTGTTTCCATAATTTTGCTATTATAAATAATGCTGCGATGAACATGGGCGTGCATATATCTGTTCTTAAGGGACAGATCTTTCTTATTGTAGAATTCCAATTAATAAACAGAGAAGGAAAGAGCGATACAAAATCACCACTAGGCAAACACCTCAGTTATAAATGTTGCACAACATCCACTGGTGAATAGTAAAATTAGTGGGTGAAAAATTGAGGAGAAATAGGATTTGCAAAGATTCAAAGTATCTACCCAAAGATACACAGTAGCTTAAAGGGAAAGATACTTACTTTACAGTGGTGCAACTCATCATAAACCACCTTAAACAAGTTATGAAAGTAAACATGATCAGTAATAAGATACATCTATATCATGAACCTCTTGACACAGTATCATTTTTCTATGGTATTTTTACAAAAAAATGAATAACTTCATTCAAGTCATTAAAAAAAAAAAAAAAATCAAACTATCTTAATTGAGGGAGCTCTGGTGGCAAAGTGCCTAAGGCACCTGACTGCTAACCAGAAGGTTGGCAGTTCAAACACACATGCCACTCCTCAGAAGGAAGGTTGGGCAATCTACTTCCATAGAGCGACCACCTTGGAAACCAAAGGAGGGGTCATTGTGAGTCAGATCTGACTTGACAGCAGTAAGTATCTCAGTTGAGGAAATTTTTACTAAAAAACTATTCAATAGTCTTCAAAACTGTCAAGGTCCTGAAATAAAAGGAAAGACCTGGGAACTCTGCAGACTGATGAACACTAAAGAGCAAAAAAACTAAGTGCAATGCAAAATCCTAGATCAGATTCTGGAACAGAAAAGGCCCATTGGTGGAAAACTGGTGTAATTTAAATAAGGTCTTTAATTTCATTAATAATATTGTACTGATGCTAATTTCCATATTGTGCTACTTTTACTATGGTTAGGTAAGATGCTATTAAGAGTAGCTGGTGGTAGGATATTCAGAAAAAATTCTACTAGCTTTGTGCTTTTTCCATAAGCCTAAAATTAGTTCAAAATAAAAAGTTAATTTTTTTTTTCATTTCATTTGACTTCTCAACTGCCTTCAACTCCATTCTTAAGACACTGTCTTCTCTTGAGCTTAGAATCATCTTATTCTTCTGCTTTCCTTATTATCTCTGGGTTGGATCCTATTCTTTATAACACAGCAAAATAAAAAAATATATTTATATGGTCCACAAGTTCATAGATTCTGGTCTTGACAAAGTTAGGGCTATGCAAGTACTACATATTGTTGTTGCTGTTATGTGCTGTCAAGTACTACATGAGGATAGAAAAATACTCTAAGAAACACTCTCTTCAAATTCCTAACCTAACTTGAAATCATAAAGGAGACAGAGGGCCGTAGGTCAATGGAGCTGGAAGTATAAACTCAAGTTTCTTCCCAGATGCAGCAAAGGTGGCAACAACATGAGCAATAATAACTATATAAACCTGCGCTCACCATCATCCTGATTGCTCTCTGGGTTACCAGGGAACCCAGGGAGATGAAGAGCAAGTGTATTCTGCATGGCATATGCAGCACACATATTGTAAGCAAGAGCCAGAGACTGGTGGTCTTTGGCTATAACTGGCCATCCGGTGTGTTTTTACTTTGTCTTGTTTGGATGTTTGGCTTCAAAACTAGAAATATCTAGCAACAAAGGGCCAACAGCTGAGTGAAAGTGAATCATAGCTTCTTCCACCACTCTATGCACTCCTATTCAACCCACTCCCTGTAACCATAACTCCATGACTTCTGCAGATATTTCAGTTTGCAACTCCTACAACAAAAAAAAGAAACCTCACTGCTGTTGAGTCGATTCAACTCATAGAGAACCCTCCTTGGGTTCTGAGGCAGTATCTATGGAAGTAGATTGCCCAACCTTCCTTCCGAGGAGTGGGTGGTGAGTTTGAACCACCAGCCTTCTGGATAGCAGTCAAATGCCTTACGGAGTATGCCACCAAAGCTCCCCCCACAACTAAAAATTGTTATTTCAATTTCTCACTCTCATTGGGATTGTTTTAATTAGTGTGGGTTGGTATGTGCTGTTTTAAAAACACCTACACAAAATAGCTAGCATTTTCTAAGAACCTGCAGTCCTTTAGGGACAATACAAATTTAATTCTCATAAAAGCTATTTAACCCCATTTCATGAAGAGGAAACTGAGGCTTAAAGTAACAAAGTAATTAAGTAAATTTTCAGAGCCCACAAAATAAGTGATACAGCAGGGACTCAAATTCTGGTCTTCAGATGCCAAGATCTGTATTCCTTGACTATATAAATGTTACCACTTTCATCTGCTTTACTTACTTTGCTGCCTACCTGTAACCTCTGACCCTATGACTGTTTTATTCATTTTCAAATTATGGAATTTATCAAGCACAAATAAAAGTATGTTGTTTTTGTTATGTGCTGTTGAGTCGGACCGACTCACAGCAACCCCTCCTTGGGTTTCCAAGGCAATACCACTATTGAAGTAGATTGCCCAACCTTCGTTCCAAGGAACTTAGGCACTATGCTACCAGAGCTCCTTAAACATAGAACATTACAAATACAGTTGAATACTTCTGTGTACCTACCATCAGATTTGTCAAATATTTTGTCATATTTGATTATGTTTTTATTAATGTTGTTGTTGTTGTTGTTATATGCTGTCGAGTCAGACGCGACTCATAGCGACCCCTCCTTGGGTTTCCAAGGCA